AGCATCAGAGTATATAATACCAGTCTACTGATATATAAAGTCTACTCCATTTGTCATACCCTTTATCTGTCGCAGAGAATATTTTTGTAGTGATTCTTTGATTAGTTCAATACTGAGTGATCCAAACATATTTATAATCGAAAATAATGGATGAGTCAAATACTACAATATAGGCAATGTTTTTGTAGAGATATAATTCTTCAGAACTCTGAAATCCCTCCATTACCCCCATCTTTATACTTTACTAACATTTAAGGTATGTCTACCATAAAACAGACAAAGCCATGAACTGATGTTTGCATAAACATCACACAATCTTCGTAACACTCTCATAGGGTAGGATCCATAACCTTTTTTTCTTTCAGGAAGTTAATATTTATAATTTTAAAAAGACACTCAAAGTTTTAGCTTTATACTGTCCTTACTGCTGGCAATTTCATAGAAGTGAACATGTTTTATTTAGCAAGAGTTCCCTCTGATTTTCCAGAGTTGATTCTAATCACTTTGTTTGGGTATTAATATCCTTCCTTGAACCAATTCCTCTGTCAGACAACCCTAAGTCTTTTGCTTATGCTTACGCTGGAGGGTACGGGTGGCAATTATCAGGCTAAACCACACGGACTAAGATTAAAGGGGTTTTTCCTACAGAGATTGTGAAAGGCAGACCGAAATTGAAATACGCTTTGATGTTCTGTTCCTTGATTGTCAGCATCTTTGCATGCTACTCTTCCAAAACAAACGTTCAAAACTACCTGACTTTATATGAGACCACTATCCCATACACAACCAAAAAAGGTCTCACCATCCCACCAAGAGACAACTCAAAACTGCCCAATTACTACATCTTGATATCCAATAAACACACCATGAAACTTGATTAATTTAGCTACCCTGAGCATCATCAGTATACCATGGTGGAGGGTAACCAGGATTATCTTTCATAATGTCTGAAAAGGGGACTCAGGAAAATCGTAATTCAAATCCAAACATAGGCTTTATCCTAGGAATGAAAAGAGCCCTGACTCTCCGCCCTCAGAATGACTAAGTTGCTCAACCATTTAGTTGGGTTTCTCAAAATTCTTTTCTCTGATAAAATCTCTCTTGACCTTTGTTTTCTTTGACT